GCAGGCACGAACCCTTGGCCCGCCCCCTGAGGCCCGCGGCTCCTCCCACCGCCACTGCGGCAAAACAGGCCCCGCCCCCGAGGGCTGGCAGGGACGCAGGGGCAGCCCGAGGGACCCAGCCTGTCGGGGACACCGTGGGATGGACGAGGTGGCCTGCAGCCCCCAGCCCCAGCCCTGACACCTGCCAGCCCACCCCGGCTGGCTCGCTCGACAGGAGCCCGCGGGCAACCCGCCCCGTCCCCCACGCAAGATGGCGCGGCCGCCCCTCAGCTCCGCGGCCACCTCAAGGGGACGGCCCGTCCCCGGGACCCCGGCGGGCCACGCAAGATGGCGCCTGCGGCAAGCGCGGCAACCCGCGTCCCGGGCCCGCTGAGGAAGGACGCTGCCAGGCGACGTCCACCGGCCGCCCCCCTTCCCCAGCTGGCCAGCGTCCCGGCCGGCGGCAGGTGACCGCCGCGCTGCCTCACGCGGCGCCCTGACACCGTCCTGATGCGGACGCGCAGGCAGGGCGCCGGCCCAACTCACCTCCCCTCACCACACCGCCTCGGGCCTGACCAAGGCGCAGCCCGCGTGCACGCTCTAGCACGCCCACGGGGCCCCTGGCGCCCGACGGCGCCACCAGCCCAGGGCGGACATGCCCGCTCCTCGCTCCCGACCTCGTCCTCCTGCAGCTCCGCGCGTCTGCACCGAGCCTCTGCGCGCGACTCCTTGTCAGGCTCTCCGCAGAGGCGGGGCTGCAGCGCAGGCCAATCAGCAGCCGAGGGGCCCTCCCCGGCCCCCCTCGCCACGCCTCCGAGCCCTGCCAATCAGGCTGCGGTTGCCGTGCCGACGGCTTGGCGCGAAGGCTGGAGGTTGACGTCAACTGAGCTGACACCAGGGGCCCCTGAGAGGGGTCTGGTAAAGGGGGAGGGGGCCGGGGGCGGGGGGCGTGACCCCACACAAAGAAAGGGGGTGACACGGAGAAGGGCCAACTAATGACACCCAAACACAAAGCCAACGGAGAAAAAAAAATAACATACATTTGTCCAAAAAGTGAAAATCCAGCGGGCAAAACCGTGTATGTTGAAGCGTAAAGACAGACGAGAAAGTGGGAGACGACACTTTTCCGCCTGGGACACAGGAAAGACGCGGGACTAACTCCCTCAGTAAGCGAGGAGCTCTCGGAAACCACTACGAGAAAGACCAAGCGTGCCAGAAACCTGGGCAGCCAGGGAGGACGCCGAAACTTCCCGGGAAGCAATGGCTGACGGACCCGCGGCAGAAAATCCAGCGCTGCCTCAAAGCCGGGAGAGGCGGACGCCGCGGATCCCCGCACGGATCCCCGCCAGCGCCCGGCACAGACCTGCACAGATCCCCGCAGATCCCGC